TAGGCTGCCAAATCTGCTTGAAGAGATCAATGGATAATATGACTGTTCGAGTACCAGAAGCTGTTGCTGATGCTAGACAAACAGTAGATATGAGTAAAAACTCCTAAAAGAAAATATCTTGGGGGTTTTAAGAAGCTTAATTATTTTTATAACTTATTTTTAAATGTGTAATTAAATATGGAAATTGTGAGTTATTTTATATGACTATCAATATTAGAGTAATGCTATTTTAATTTTTCTTTATAGAACCTCTTATATTTTTACGCTTAAAATGCAATAATACTTCTTATAAGTGATCATTGGATTATAAATGTTAGCAAGCGTATTACAGATTTCATGTAACATTATTCTGCCAAAACTTTTACTGATGTTTGAAAACTGGATCACTTCTACATGACTTCTTCAAACACCGCCCCCCCCTCCTCCCCCCCCCCGGCATTTCTAGGTTTCACACATGGATATGTAAGAGAACAAAACTTATAAGACTGCATGGGGGCTTTTTAAGGTCTTGTCATTAAAGATGGTATGCTCAGAGCTAATTCATGTTCTCAGTAAATAGTGGATTTTCAGGGTAGGGTTTTTCCAAACTTTGGAATCTTAATGAGGTATGGCAAATTTTGTCTTGCAAAAAACCCATGAAATGTAGGGGCTGATACGGAATGTTGGCACCTGCAGCTTAATTGTTGCAGTGCATCTCTCTTGCCCATATCAGAAGTCAATAAACCTCAACTGTATTTACGTTTGACTATACCACAAATACCAGGGTACCCATGGCTTCGAAGAGTAAAGCCTTGGAGCTGCCTAATGGGAGAGCATAACCACTGGAGGTAATGGGCAGTTCTTGCTGTTCTCTGAAGACAGCTGAGTTGGGATTGAAGAGGGCAATGTTTGTCAACATAAGATTTGTTCTGGAATTTTTATCCCTTTTTCAGTTTTGAGATGCTTCAGGAGGCAGTCTGATGTTAGCTAGGGCATTCAGCTTAAAGAGATTCCTAGATTCTGGGCCTTGCTCTCAGGATCATTTCCTTAATGGTTGATATGAAATGACCAAGTATATTTATTCCATAAAAATGGATTAGTTTCACCAGAAGGGGTAGGGAGACCCCCATGGTGGGATAGTGTGTGGACTGATGATGAAGAGCTTTCGGTTGGATCCTGCTTTAGTCTTTCTAAAGTAGACCAAAATAAAATAATGTCGTCTCTTAGACTTCATTAGTCTCTCCAGTTTTTGTTGCCTAAATACTTAAATGAAATGGTTGTCACCAATACAATAGTTGTTAGCTTTATAAGGTTATTTTACTATTTGAGGCATATTTATACATATATATACACATGTTTACATTTGAATGATCTAGTGCATTCATTAATGCCTTATTTGAACTGGTGACAATGACATCTAGACATCTTTTCTTGCATTATGGTATTTATGGGAGAGGAAGGGGAAAAAATGTTTTTCCAGTGTCAAATATTGGGATTATTTTGAGCTTCATAAAAAGAGGAAAAAAAAGTCCCTCTCTGTTATAAAATGAAATATTTTCTAGAACTGTATTGAAAATAGTTCTAGTTCAGATTCTTTGATTTCGTCTCAGTTGCTATTACTTTGTTTCCTGGTGTTGCCGTTGGACTTTCCCCTAAAACAAGATATGCTTAATGTGGTCTGCTCAGAACTTAATCATATAGGGTTTTCAGAATATGCTTCCTATCTCATCTAATTCAAAATATTACTTCAGAGTTGAAATTTCCTGGCTATTCAAAAGACAGAGAGAGTGAGGTCAGGGAGGAGAGTGGAAATAAATAGAAGAAATGTTCTGAAGATACTGCTGTCTTCCTCTTCAACTGCTGTGACTCGAACCATAATTTAGAGGTTACCCTGCCACAATCAGGCGCTAAGGTAAATCAGTTCTCACTTTGTATTGCCTTTGTCCTGAGTTCATTTACATACAGTAATTATTATTAAATCTTGAACTTCTAGTTTTTCACATGAGACAGAGCTCTTTAGCTTCCCAGAGAGGGAACTCAGGTCATAACCAGATGTACTGTGCATTCTTACATTGGAAAGAAATCTGAGGCTTCGGTATAGCTGTGGGGTTTGGGGGTAGATGTTGGCGTTTTGTTGGGTTTTGATGTTTTCTTGGTTTTTGTTTTGGGTTTGTTGGGGTTTTTGTGTGTACAGCACCAGGCAATCTCCTTGTGGGAATCTTGAAGTGCTTAACACTGTGTTAAACAAATGTGAAACAGCTCTCGTGACAGTTTTCGTTCTAAGCCAAGGTTGTTTCATTGTGTGTTTCCTGTGACAGCTTCTCATTGCAAAGACTTTTAACTATCCGCTAGCGTGCCTATGGAAGGACTTTTTTAGCACAGCAAGGCAAAAAAGGACACTTCAAAGTTCATTTTTTTAATTCTAGGGCTATCCCATATTGCATGCAAATGGAAATCTCAGAGGGTGAAGGAACTAACATGTAATCCCCAAAATGCACAGCTCAGATACTTGTTTCCTTATTGTCAAAATAATTTGCAAATAAATCTTATTTTATACCACTTTCTGACACACCTTGCTTGTATTGATTTTTTTCTTCGCTTTTTCTCCAAGCCATTGAATGTATTTCTGGGTGTAAAATGGCACTTAACAGTTAATCATAGAATTATTAAGGTTGGAAAAGTCCTCAAGTCCCAGATGATCCTATAGATCATCAAGTCCAAAGGCCAACCCAACACGACCGCATCCCAAAGTGCCACATCTACATGGTTTTTCTTAACAGCTCCAGTGATGGTGACTCCACCCCTTCCCTTGGCAGCTGATGCACATCTGAGTGCAAATATGAATTATTGTGCAATGGTGTGCAATTAAAGCATCAAAACTAGTGAACTATATACTCACTTCCTTGCCCAAATAAAGATTTATGGATAACTTGCTTTCTAAAAGCATTTCCTCTCTCTTTTAAAACATAGAGTCAGTGCGTCTCTTCTGCCCCTCTCCTCTCAAGTGAGGAGAGAATCAGAACTGGCTTTGTTCCCTTTGCTTCTGAACTTCAGTTTACAACACACACTTGCACTCTTGGAGGGAAACAGACCTTTAGTTCACGAGCACTGGTGGGGGGATGCTGCCTTCTAATTCCTGGGGGTAAAAAGGTCCTTTGGGTTTGTGAGGAAGGCCAAAACCATCCTTGGGCCGAAGGAAAGGTCTGGTAGTGCCCTCTGCCTTTCTCCGTGTGGGGAAGCTTGTCTCTGACTCTAGGTCATGTCCCTTCCACTCCAACCCCTTAAGCCCTAGTTGGGTTCAGCGTCCTGCTGGCCTCTGCTCTGGGCAGGGAAGCTGATAGCAGGAGCCAGCAGTCTCTGTCCTCTTTCTGTGACATTTTGTACATGTGTTTGTGTGATGTCTGAAGGGGAAGGATGGAGGTGCCTCATGCTCCCATGTTGCTACATCTTGTTCTGCTGGGGAAAGTTTCCATCACCTAGGCTGCAAGATTACAGAATCACTAAGGTTGGAAAGGACCTTCAAGATCATCAAGTCCAACCATCAATCCAGTGCCACCATGTCCCCTAAACCATGTCCTGAAGTGCCACATCCACACGTTTTTTGAATACTTCCAGAACTGGTGACTCCTCCACCTCCCTGGGCAGCCTGTTCTAATTTTTGACCACCCTCTCAGTGAAGAAGTTTTTCCTAATAGCCAATCTAAACCTCCCCTGGCACAACTTGAGGCCATTTCCTCTTGTCCTGTTGCTAGTTACTTGGGAGAAGAGACCACCACCCTTGTTGCCACAACCCCCTTTCAGGTAGCTTTAGAGAGCGATGAGATCTCCCCTCAGCCTCCTCTTCTCCAGACTGAACAACCCCAGTTCGCTCAGCCGCTCCTCATAAGACTTGTGCTCCAGACCCCTCACCAGCTTTGTTGCCCTTCTCTGGACACACTCCAGCACCTCAACATCCTTCTTGCAGTGAGGGGCCCAAAACTGAACACGGTATTCAAGGTGCGGCCTCACCAGTGCCGAGTACAGGGGCACGATCACTTCCCTACTCCTGCTGGCCACACTATTTCTGATACAGGCCAGGACGCTGTTGGCCTTCTTAGCCACCTGGGCACACTGCCGGCTCATATTCCAGCTCAGATGTCACTGGGGAGAGGAAAAGGCAGCTTCTCCAAGCACTTTGTTACTTCTTGCCATCACAGAAACATGGTGGGATGCT